AGCACATGGCCACACCAGAGTCTAGTAAGGCAATGGCCCCCCAAGATACATTAAGCAAAAACTGACAGAACTGAAGGAAGAAACAGGTAATCTAATTACAATAATTGAAGGCCCCAATACTCCAAATCATTCAATAATAGAACAACTAGCCAGAAGATTACCAAAGAAATAGAAAACAGTATAAACTGACTAGACTTGACAAATATCTATAGAACACTCTACCCAAAAGCAGCAGAACATATTCAAGTGCACATGGAACATATTATGGGGTAAATCATGGTTATAAAACAAGTTTCAGTACATTTTTGAAAACTGAGGCCAGGCATGGTGGCTTACAACTGTAATCCCAGCAATTTGGAAGACTGAGACGGAAGAATCGCTTGAGCACAGGAGGTGGGCTGTGGTGAGCAGTGATCATGCCACTGCACTCAGCTTGGGTGCCAGAGTGAGACTTGGCCTAAAAAAAAAAAAAAAAAAAAAAAAATCCCAGGCTCAGTGGTTCAGCCTGTAATCCCAGCACTTTGGGAGGCCGAGGCGAGTGGATTGCCTGAGCCCACGGATTCAAGACCAGCCTGTGCAACTTGGTGAGACCTCGTCTCTACAATAAAATAAAAAATAGCTGTGTGTGGTAGCGGGTGCCTGTAGTTCCAGCAACTCGGAAGGCTGAGGCGGAAGGATCATTGGAGCCCAGCAGGTCAACGCTGGGGTGGCCGTGAGTGTGTGTGCCACTGCACTCCAGCCTGGGCGAAGGAGTGAGACTTCAACTCCAAAAAAAAAAAAAAAATTGCCATAATACTACATGTGTTCTGTGACCACAGTGGAATAAAATTAGAAATCAGTAACAGATTTAGTTAATTTCCATGTCAATAAAGAAACATACAAGTAAAGAGATTGAATTAATAATACTTTTAAAAAAAATTTCCCACAACAAAAGCTCAGGACCAGATGGCTTAGCTGCTGAGTTCTGCCAAATGTTTAGTGAGGAATTAATACCAATTTTTCACAAACTCCCAAAATTGAAGAAAAGGAAACACTTAGCTGATTGTATGAGGCCACTATTAATATACTGATTCCAAAACCAAAGACATCACAAGAAAAGCAAACAACAGAGCAATATCTCTTAGGAATGTAGATGGAAAAAAATCTTCCACAAAATACTAGCAAACCAAATCAAGCAACATAAAAAGGATTATACATTATAACCATGTAGGATTTGTCCTAAGAATGTGCCATTTTAGTAGGAAAATAGGACAAAAACTACATGATCATATCAGTATACACTGGAAAAAAATCTGAAAATATAAAACATTCCTTCTTGAAAAACACACGCAACAAACTAGGAACGAAATACTTCCGTGACTTAATAAAGGGCGTTTGTGGGAAAACTCACAATCTACATCATATTAATAGTGAAAGACTGAAAGCTTTCTCCCCAATATCAGGCACAAAACAGGGATATTTATTCTTGTCACTTCAATGTTGTACTAAATGTTCTAGAGCAATTAGACAAAATAAAGGAGGTAGAAAATGAAGGGCGGGCATCCAGATTGGAAAGGAAGAAGTATAACTCTCTGCAGGTGACAAGATTGTGTATATAGAAAGTCCTAAGGAATCTCAGAAACAATTAGATCTAACAAATCGTCAGCAAGGCTGCCAGATACAAAATCAACATACAAAACTCAATTGGATTTCTATTACACTACAAGCAAGCAATTTGAAATTAAGAAAACAAGTCTATTTATATCAGCACCAAAAAGAATTAGATACTTAGGAATAAATTTAACAAAAGTTTTTTTGTACATCCCAAACTATAAAACATCTTTGAAATAAAGAACATCTATTGGGCTAAATATGATGAACTTAAAGAAAAAATGTTTAAAAAAAATAAAGAGCATCTAAATAAATGGAAAGACATGCCATGTCCATGGACTGGGAGGTAATTATTGTCAAGATAAAATTAGGCCAGGTATGACTCACACCTGTAATCCCAGGAATTTGGAAGGTGGAGGCAAGGTTTGCCTGAGCCCAGAGGTTCGAGACTAGCTTGGGCAACTTGGTGAGATCTCATCTCTACAATAAATAAAAAAAATTAGCTGGGCATGGTAGCATATGCCTGTAGTTCCAGCTACTTGAGAGGCTGAGGTAGAACCAGCAGGTAGAGGCTGCAGTAGCCATGATCGTGCTACTATACTCCAGCTTGGACAACAGAGTAAGACTCTGACTCAAGGAAAAAAAAAGATAAAGATAAGCTCAAGTTGACCTACAGATTAAACACAGCCCCTACCAAAAACCTCAGCTGACCTGGGTCCAGGGGCTCATGCCTGTAATCCCAGCATGTTGGTAGGCAGAGGTGGGAGGATTGCCAGCCCAAGGGTTTGAGACCAGTCTGGGCAACTTGGTGAGACCTCATCTCTACAATAAATCAAAAACTTAACCAGGCATGGTGATGTGCTCCTATAGTTCCAGTTACTTGGAAGGCTGAGGCAGAAAGATTGCCTGGGTCCAACAGGTTGAGGCTGTGGTGACCATGAGTATGCCACAGTACTCCAGCCTGGGCGACAGAATAAGACCATGACTCAAAAAAAAAAAAAGTCTCAGCTGAAATTAGCTAGGCATGGTGACACACACCTGTAGTTCTAGCTACTTCAGAGACTGAGGCTGGAGGATTGCTTGAGGTCAAGAGTTCAAGACTGCAGTGAGCTATGATTGCATCACTGCACTACAGCCTGGGCAACGGCGAAACCATGTCTCTAAAAAAAAAAAAAAAATATATATATATATATATATATATATTTTTTTTTTTAAAGCCTCAGCTGCCTTTTTTACAGAAATGTTCAAGCTGACCCTAAAATTCATATTGAATTATTATATATATTAATTAATATAATATAAAGGGCCAATTATAGCCAAAGCAATCTGGAGAAAGAAGAATGAAGAGGTGTACTTCCTGATTTCAAATTTTATTACAAAGCTACATTAATCAAGACAGTATTGGCATGTGAGCAGACATACAAATTAAGGGAATAGAATTGAAAGTTCAAAAATAAGGCCTTGCATTGATGGCAATTGATTTTTGACAAGGGGACTAAGACAATTCAACTGGAAATCCACATGCAAAGGAGTAAAGTGGTATGCCATTCTCACACCATATATAAAAATTAGCTCAAAATAGATCAAAGACTTAAACGTAAGAGTTAAAACTACAAAATGTTTAGTAGAAAACATAGGTGTAAATTCTCATGACCTTGAATTGGGTGATGATTTCTTAGATCTGATATCAGGAGTTCAGGCAACAAAATATAAAATCTGCACTTTATCAAAATCAAAACTTTTTTCTTTCAAGGGACATCTGCAAGAAAGTAAAAAGACAACACACAGAATGAGAGAAAATATTTGCAAATCATATATCTGACAAGGACTAGTATAGACTCTAGGAAAAGAATTATAACAACTCAACAAAAAGGTCAGGCACGATGGCTCATGCCTATAATCCCAGCACTTTGGGAGGCCGAAGTGAGAGAACTGCCTGAGCCCACGGGTTCGAGACCAGCCTGGGCAACTTGGCAGGCCTTCATCTCTACAGTAAATCAAAAAACTAGCCGGGTGTGATGGCGCAAACCTGTAGTTCCAGCTACTTGGAAGGCTGAGGTAGAAGGATCACCTGAGCCCAGCAGGTCAAGGCTGTGGTGGCTGGGAGCGTGCTACTGCTCTCCAACCTGGCCGACAGAGTCAGACTCCAAATCAAAACAAAACAAAACAAAACAAAAACAACAATAAAAAGACAACCCAATTTCAAAATGGGCAAGGTATCTAAACAGACATTTCTCCAAAGAAAATATACAAGTAGCCAATAAATACATGAAAAGATGCTTAACATCACTAGTTATTCAGGAAATGCAAATCAAAACCATAATTAGATACTACTGCACATGTAATAGGATAGCTAAAATAAAAAAGATAGACAATAACAAGTTCTTGTAAGGATATGAAGAAATTGGTATCCTTATACACTGCTAGAAGGAATGTAAAATTGTGTAGCTCCCTTGAAAAAGTTTCTCAGTATCTCAAATAGTTAAGCATAGTGTTGTCATATGACTCACAATTGTCCATTCCTAGCTATAATACCTAAGAGAATTGAAAATATATGAATACTGAATATTCTATGAATATTCCTAGAAGTATTATGCATAATATCCAAAGGTGGAAACAACCCAATTGTCCACCAGCTGGTGAATAGATAAATAAAACATGGCATATCTGTTATGACCGGATTGCGAGAGAGAGATATGCCAGCACGCCAGGTCCAAATGAATATTGAGTCCTTTATTAGCACGCGGTCAAGGGTAGGCTCTTGCCTTTAACTCCTGGTTCAAGTAATCCTCCCACCTCAGCTTCTGAAGGTATGCTAATTGACTGACTGAGTGAAGGAGAGCCAAAGGCCTCTTTCGCTGAGTAGGGCATGGAGCGGTTTCCACCCTCAATGTCATTCGCAGAGAAGGGAGGTGGGTGGGATGGAGGCGGGCCCACTACTCTGTCTCGGGACAGGCTTTTTTGTTAGTCGTTTGTTTGTTTGAGTCGGAGTCTCACTCTGTCGCTCAGGCTGGAGTGCAGTAGCACGCTCACGGCCACCGCAGCCTCAGCCTGCTGGGCTCAGGCGATCCTTCCGCCTCGGCCTTCCAAGAAGCTGGAACTACAGACGCGCACCACCACGCTCGGTTAATTTTTTCGATTTATTGTAGAGATGAGGTCTCGCCAAGTTGCTCTGGCCGGTCTCGAGCTTCTGGGCTCAGGAAATCCTCTCACCTCCGCCTCCCAAATTGCTGGGATTACAGGCGTGAACCACTACGCCCGGCGTCTGTACAGTTTTAACCGGCCCACTCAAGTCTGCGGTCTCGGTTTCCAGTCGACCCTTTAAAACCTAAGGGGCGAATAAGTGGGAACTACATTTCCCAGCAGGCCGTGGGCGCGGGGCTCCAGTCTTTCCTCCCTGCGCCCGGAGAGCCGCGGTTGGCGTCCGGTGTGCCGTCGGCCACATGGATCCTGACGGCAGGTGGCGGAACCTGCCCAGTGGGCCTAGCCTGAAGCACTTGACCGACCCGTCTTACGGGATCCCGCGGGAGCAGCAAAAGGCAGCGTTGCAGGAGCTGACGCGGGCGCATGTGGAGTCCTTCAACTACGCTGTGCGCGAAGGGCTCGGCCACGCGGTGCAGGTGAGCGAGGTGTCTTCCTGGGCCTCCGTCAGCGGTACGGCAGCCGGCGAGGCCACGCGCGAGGCGGGCTGACGAGAAGGGCCCGGCGGGGCTGGAGCGGCACCGGGCTGGGATGAGGCCTGGGCTGTGTGGGGCACGGGCGGGAGGAACCGAGTCCCCAAGAGTTGGCTGGAAGGCCACAGTGCAATCCCAAGTACTTGGTCGTGCTGGGATCGGCGGGTACGCGGGAGAACATGTCGATCAGGACGTGGGGCTTGGCCTTGTGGGACTGGAGGTCCAGTCGTCTAGGGGAAGATGTAGTCGTAGTTTCTACAGGATTCCTACGTGATTGTGTACCGTAGTTTTTTGTTGGACCGTTTTCTGGGTGCTGTGAGTGAGGAAGTAGCCTGTTTGGGGTGTTCTTCCCAATCATTCACAACGCACACTCCTTTATGTCCCTTGAAGCCTTGCCTGTCCAAAACCTACCTCAGAAAGCTCTGAACTTATTGTAGACTGTAGAGGGAAACTGATGTAGAACCCAAAAGTTAAGTTCCAGTACCCGAACTTGCAAAAAGCCAAACACTGACACATATATCGGAGCAAAGGTTTGTTGGATTAGACCAAAGCATGAGGCATGAAGTGGTAAGCTCTCAGATCTGACCTGCCTTTGAGCATAACTGAGGACAGAGACCTTATGATATTTATAACACAGTCTCAGAAAACTACTAGGCACCTTTTCTGAATTAGGCAAGTGTTGAGGAAGGTATAAAGGAGTCATAAAAACAAGATTGAATAGAAAAGTGTAATAGTATTATTAGGTAGCATAGGGTATTAGTAGCAGAGTTCAGGTGAGGATAGTGGAGGAAGATCTCCTTTTTAGTAAGCATCCCCAGTGTCTCCAGGGAGTAGGTTCTGAATGTGAAGAAGATACAGTCCCCTGTAAGAGACAGTTAATTATTTTGAATGCACCCTATTGTGTTTTGGGGGGAGACATGATGGACACATGGAAGCAGTCAATGCCAGTACTTTTTGGTGGGGGGGTTGTGTGTGTTTTGGGGTTTTTTTTTTAAGACAAAGTCTTTCTCTGTTGCCCAGACTGGAGTGCGGTGGTGTGATCATGGTTCACTGCGGCCTTTAACTCCTGGTTCAAGTAATCCTCCCACCTCAGCTTCTGAAGGTAGCTGGGACTACCTGTGCATGCCACCACACCCAGCTAATTTTTAATTGTTTTATAGAGGTGAGGTCTCACTGTGTTGCCCAGGCTGGTCTTGAAGTGGTCCTTCTGCTTCAGCCTCCCTAAATATTGGGATTATAGGCATGAGACACCTTACCGGCCAGATTAGTATTTGTAAGGCTAAGGGAAAGTCTTTACCATATTTTTGTTTGTTTACAAAACATAGCCTGGTTTCTTTGGAGTAGATTCCTGCTTTTTGTGAGTCAGTTTATATGTACCTATCACGTTAATTTTTTCAAAATACAATTGATTTTCATTATTTGGGGATTTCATATTTGCAAATTCACCTGCTTGCTAAAATTTATTTATAACCCCCAAATCAGTACTCACCAACATGCTTAGAGGGGCGAAAAATTTGAGTTGCCCAATGTGCAACTGAATTCCCAGCTGAGTTCAGTTAAGATGATGCTCTGCCTTTTTGTTTCAAGAGTATTAACAAGGGTTGTTTTCACTATCTATTTAGTGCCACGTTTTGTGCTTTTTGTTGGTAATTTTGCTGTTTAATTTTCTTATTTTTTGAGTCAGAGTCTCATCCTATCACCAAGGCTGGAGTGCAGTGGCACAATCACAGATCACTGCCACCTCAAACTTCTGGGCTCAAGTGATCCTCCCGCCTCAGCCTCCTGAGTAACTAGAAGTATAGGTGTGTACCTCCATGCCTGGCTAATTTTTTTATTTTTTTGTAGAGACAAGGTCTCATTATGTTGCCTAGGCTGATCTTGAACTCCTGGGCTCAAGCAGTCCTACTGTCGTGGTCTCCTAAAGTGCTGAGATTACGGGTGCGAGGTAGCGTGCCTGGCCAATTTTGCTGTTTAAAATGTCCCCCAAGCATTTAGTATTAAAGTGCTGTGTGGTGTGCCTAAGCACAGGAAGGCTGTGCTTTGCCTTATGGAGAAAATACATGTATCAGATAAGCTTTATTCAGGTGTTAGTGCTGTTGACTGAGAGTTTGATTTAGTGACCTAGTAGCATATATTAAATAAGGTGTTCTTAAACAGAAACACACATAAAGCAAAGTTATATATTGATCAGTTGATGAAATATTGTGACCAGAGGCTCTCAGGAACTTAACCTTGTATTTCCTCTAGGAGCAGTGGTTCAGTATTGGCTAATTCAGTGTATATGGCAACTTTATATAACACAACTTGAGAACAAGAATTGACTGTATGAAGATATAAATAGTACAGCCATGTCTTGAAAGCCTTTTTTAAAACTAATACTTGGGCCAGTCTCGGTGGCTGAGGCTAGTGGATTGCCTGGTCCCATGGGCTCGAGACCAGACCAGGCAATTTGGTGAGACCTCTTCTCTACAATAAAATAAAAAATTAGGTGGGCACAGTAGCACATGCCTGTAGTTCTGGCTATTTGGAAGACTGAGATGGAAGGATCACCTGAGCCCAGCAGGTTGACGTTGGGGTAGCCATGAGCATGAACTAGGTGATGGAGTGAAACTCGAGCATGAACTAGGTGATAGAGTGAGACTCCAACTCGAAAACAACAACAACAAAAAAAACCCCTAATAATAGCTGGGCTCGGTGGCTCAGCCTGTAATCCCGCGCCTTTGGGAGGCTGAGGTGAGTGGATTGCCTGAGCCCGCAGGTCTCCCGCCTGGGCAGGCGAGACCTCTTCTCTACAATAAATCAAAAAATTAGCCGGGTGTGGTAGCGTTCGCCTGTAGTTCCAGCTACTTGGAAGGCTGAGGCGAAAGGATCGCCGGAGCCCAGCAGGTCGAGGCTGCGGTGGCCGGGAGCGGCCACTGCACTCCAGTCTGGGCGACAGAGTGAGACTCCAACTCAAAAAAAAAAAAAGAAAAAAAAACCCACCTAATATTTCATTCTTAAATGTGAAATATTATATAAATTTTATTTTTAAGTAAAAAAGATTAAAAAATAATACCAGCTTTAGATAAAGTTTAAAAATTTTAGAAAAGGTCAGTTGAACGCATAAGATTGGAGACCTTCCTTGGTATTCTTCTTGGCACTGTTTCTGGCATTTTGATTATTCTTTTTTTTTTTTTTTTGAGTTGGAGTCTCTGTCACCCAGACTGGAGTGCAGTGGCCGCTCCTGACCACTGCAGCCTCGACCTGTTGGGCTCTGGCGATCCTTCCGCCTCAGCCTTCCAAGTAGCTGGAACTACAGGCGTGCGCCACTACGCCCGGCTAATTTTTTATTCATTGTAGAGATGAGGGCTCGCCAAGTTGCCCAGGCGGGTCTTGAACCCGCAGGCTCACGCAATCCTCTCACCTCAGCCTCCCAAAGCACTGGCATTACAGGCTGAGCCACCGAGCCCGGCCCATTTTGATTATTCTAACACTAAGGCTACAAGGTTGCTCGTAGTTAATATGTAGGAGAGCTCAGTGATACCCCTTCCTCAGAAGAACAGCAAAGCTTTCCTCAGGAGTGGTACAGAGAAACAACTATTCTGAAATGAAATGTACAATTATCAGCCTAAAGAATGGCATTAGAGTATCCAGTCCTAAATCAGGAGGGTATTTCCATATCCTTGCCCTATTAGCAGCCAGTCCTGTTTGTCTTGCTGTACACACAGTCAAGGTCAGAGAGGTAGACACACTTGATTCAGAGAACAGGAGCTTTGTTCTGTTCACAACTGTATCCTTAGTGAGCCTGCTACAGACTGACACATAGTAGGCACTCAAAAAATTCTTGAGCTGATACATTATAGCTAGTGAAGTTATGAGTAGGCTGGATGTAATCTTAACTGTCTTTTTTAGATATGTCATGTTTGTATTATAGGCATCAATGCTTGTAGAATGTGTGGGATTTGAAAGAGTCTTAGAGAACAAGTACCTTGGAAATGCAAGCAATTTACTAGTGTGAATTGTATTTCAGGCTATACCTCCCTTTGAGTTTGCTTTCAAAGATGAGAGAATCTCCCTTACCATTGTGGATGCTGTTATCAGTCCACCCACAGTCCCAAAAGGAACCATCTGCAAAGAGCTCAATGTTTATCCAGCAGAATGCCGGGGTCGAAAGAGTACCTACCGTGGGAAATTGACAGTGAGTACTAATGACACTGTTTAAATCTCACTGCACATTAATTTTTTTTTGAGTTGGAGTCTCACTCTGTCACCCAGACTGGAGTGCAGTGGCCACTCCCGGCCACCGCAACCTCGACCTGCTGGGCTCCGGCGATCCTTCCGCCTCAGCCTTCCAAGTAACTGGAACTACAGGTGCGCGCTACCACGTCTGGCTCATTTTTGATTTATTGTAGAGATGAGGTCTCGCCAAGTTGCCCAGGTGGGTCTCGAACCCGCGGGCTCAGGCAATCCACTCAACCTTAGCCTCCCAAAGGTGCGGGATTACGGGCTGAGCCACCGAGCCCGGCTTCACTGCACATTTTTTGAGAATAGGGCTGGTGCCTATTGCAATTAATACTAGAATTTGCTTTCTCAGTGCTGTCAGCTAAGAGATCTCATCTTCTAAATCTAAATCATAAAATTATTTAATTGATCATCTTCCTCACTCTTTTAAAATACTCATTTGTCCTTGCAGATCCAGTTATTTACTTTAAGTAATTTTTTTCTCATTTTCATTTAGGCTGATATCAGCTGGGCAGTGAATGGAATCCCAAAAGGAATCATTAAACAGTCTCTTGGCTATGTTCCTATCATGGTGAAGTCCAAGCTTTGCAACTTATACAACCTTCCTCCGCAAGCCCTCATTGAACACCATGAGGAGGCAGAGGTAATCATGGGGATCCAGGCTGTGAGACAGTAGAGAAGACCTGTGTTGGGAGTGAGAAAACAAGGAGCTTGTCGGTGGGAGTCAGCTTTTTTTTCTCTATTCCAATTTCTGGATGGGTAAAAGGGGCATCAGTATCTTGTCTGCGTATGTGTGGCCCTTAATGACTGTCAATTGAGAGTATGAAAATGTGGCTATACAATTAGAGTACGTTTTGGGAGAAGAACTGGTAGATTTTTCCTAAATTTCTGAATGATACGTATATAGAGATGTACTTCTAGGAAGTTTTTTTCCCCCAGACTGTCTTAACACACAAAGCTCTTGTCAAAAATGTCTGCTTTACTGACAGTGAGATTCTGTGAACATATTAAATTACTCATATGCCTTCCCTTCACCATTTCTTTCAACTGTGTTAGCTGTCTTTGTGGTATTGAGCTGAGGTAATCAAGATGTACAGACTCTGCCCACTAAATAGGTAGACTGTGTTATGCCTTGGGAAGAGAGTTTTGGTGTTGGATCTGGGTTTGACACCCAGGTTTGGGGAAGTTTAATCTCCCTGAGCCTCAGTTTCCTTTGCTGAAAATGGACATAATAGCTATCCCACTCATTGTTATGAGAATGAAATGTTATAACATAGAGCATGTAGCATAATATGCCTGTTTCATAGTAGGTAACTAGTGAATAGTAGCTCTTTATTATAGAAATATGACTTTGAACAGTGCTACTAAAAATATTTTTCTATTTAACTGATATAAGTTTCTGGTTTCCAGAGCTTTCACATGGCCAAAAGTGTTTAAATTTGGGAAACTATACTCAAGTGTGGGAGCAAAATGATTATGGTTTGTAATCTTTAGACCTTCCTTTGGGGTGAGTTTTTTTGGTTTGTTTTGTTTTTGAGTTGGGACCTTACTCTGTCACCCAGGCTAGAGTGCAACGGCACAATCACAGCTCACTGTGACCTTGACCTTCTGGGCTCAGGAGATCCTTCTGCTTCAGCCTCCCAAGTAGCTGGGACTATAGGCATACATCACCATACCCAGCTAATTTTTTAACTTTTCTGTAGAGATGAGGTCTATGCCCAGGCTTGTCTTGAACTCCTGGGCTCAAACAATCCTCCTCCCTTGGTCTCCCAAAGCGCTGGGATTACAGGCATGAGCCTCCTTGCCCATCTGAGTGGATTTTTGTTTTGTTTTGTTTTCTTCAGTGTTATTTGAAGACTGAAGTCATTTTAGGAGACAGAAAGGCAAGGAGGCTGAATTTGTCTAGTAGAGAGAAGCATCCTGTTTTTCTTCCATACTTTTCTTTCATGTCTCTAGGACCTTGGTAATGTATTTGAGAAGACTTAATTCGCACACAGTGTCTGAATTCAAGGGATCAGTGGTCCCTTTGCCTGTGTGCCTTTTCTGCATGTTGCACTGCATTTGACTAGGAATAAGGCTCAAATTTGCAATTAGTCATATGTCTTTGTTTAACAAGTTGTAATTCATCTCTTTGGCAGGAGATGGGGGGCTATTTTATAATCAATGGCATTGAAAAAGTCATCCGAATGTTGATTATGCCTCGGAGAAATTTTCCCATTGCAATGATAAGACCAAAATGGAAAAGCAGGGGTCCTGGCTATACTCACTATGGTAAGTTCTAATGATTATTAGAATGTTTTTTTAGAAGAGTTTAAAACAGTTTTTACTAAGAAGACCCATATAGATAGACTGATATTTTTCTCATTTTTTTTTTCTTTTAAGCATTTCTGTGTTAAGCTTTCATAATGGGAATGGGGGAAGAGATGGAGAGATGTTGGTCAAAGGGTACAGATTTTCAGTTAAAGATGAGTAAATTCTGGGGATCTAATGTATGGCATGGTGACAATACTGTATTGTTTATTTGAAACTTGGTAAGAGTAAATTTTAAGTGTTACTCTGGGTAGTGATTGGTGTTTTCATCAATTTGATTGTGGTAATCATTATACTATGTATATATATATTCAAGGTATCGTACACCTTGAATATTTATATTGTTTCCTTTTTTGAATATATACAGTTTTTATCAAGCATTTTTAAATTTTTATTTTTTAATATATATTTTTTATTTTAAAATTGTGGGGTACAGTTAAGGGTTAGGTATACAAATATGCATTGTGCAGGTAACCTTGTTGATGAGGTGTGCCCCTCCTTCCTCAGACAGATATTGACTACTGTTAATCCCACTATTTTTATTTTATTTTATTTTTTATTTTTTGAGTTGGAGTCTCACTCTGTCGCCCAGACTGGAGTGCAGTGGCTGCTTCCGGCCACTGCAGCCTCGACCTGCTGGGCTCCGGCGATCCTTCCGCCTCAGCCTTCCGAGTAGCCGGAATTATGGGCATGCGCTACCATGCCTGGCTGAGTTTTTGATTTATTGTAGAGATGAGGTCTCGCTTGTCCAGGCAGGTCTCGAACCCGCAGGCTAAGGCAATCCACTCACCTCAGCCTCCCAAGGCGCGGGATTACAGGCTGAGCTACCGAGCCCGGTGATCCCACTATTTTTAAATTTTTAAAAGTTAGATTGGGAATTGCTCTACACTAGAAAAAAAATTAGTTTGGGAAACCTACCTTCTATTTTTTTAGAGACAAGGTCTTTCTCTGTTGCCCAGGATGGAGTGCAGCAACCCAGTTATAGCTCACTATAACCTCAAACTCTGGGACTCAAGTAACCCTCCCACCTCAGCCACCTGAGTAGCTAGGATTACAGATGTGTACCATCTCACCTAGCTAATTTTTAAATTTTTTTTGTAGAGACAGGGTCTCTATGTTGTCTAGGCTGGTCTTGAACTCCTGGTCTCTGACTGTGGCCTCCCAAAGCACTGGGATTATAGATATGAGCCACCACTCCCATCCTATTGTGTTTTATTTTTTCAAACTGAAAGAGTGCATGTATTTATTTATGTGACTGCTTATGAAGATGAAGGCTGGCCTGACTTGGCCACAGGTGGGCATCGGGCTCAGATGCCCACCTGTGGCCATCTGGTTCAGGCTACCATGGCACCCCCCTCAGGGTCACTGTCTGACAGCCACCTGGCCTCTGTTTGAGCACTCTGTGACAGTGCCTGGTTTTATAAGATAGTATGTTGTATTTTTGGAAAGCCTCTACAATAAAATAACTTACTTTTAATAATTGAGCTGAAAATCACCCTTTAATTATAGCCACACATACTATACCTAGAAAACAGCATCTCGGCATGCCAAAATATCTAGTCATTTATTTTGCATCAGTTAATGCAGTATGTCTTAGCAATCCTGAAGCTGAAATAAACTTAAAATCTAAAATTGGACTTTTCTTCATTTGAACTATTAGATGAAGTTTCATTTCTTGACCAGACTTCACAGTTGAAGGGGGGATTTAAAGGGCTTTATGACCAGGCTCTGCGGAGTGCTGAGGTATAAAGTGCTGTAAGATGTGGACTCTGGTCTGGAGGGAAACTTTCAAGTTTGATTAAATTCATAGGTTCGGTTACTTTGTACTAGTGTTTCTCAACAGTGCTAGCTGGTACACTGATGCCAATGGGTTCCTAGAATACTTACCTAGTGGGGGAAGCCTGTATAGGAAGTCCCCAACATATGAATGAGTTCCTTTCTGAGTGTGTGTATGATTGCTCCATTCTGAGAGGGAGAGTTCCTACCTTACAGGCCACTTGGCAAGGTCTTGAGATGTTTTTGATTGCCAGTCTTGACTAAACTTAGTAGTCTGTCTCTAATTATGTTTAAGAGGGTCAGGTAGTTCAGAAAACAATGAACCAGTTACAGTATTACTGAGTCCCTGATTTTCTGCTGTTTGTTTCAATAGGAGTTTCAATGCACTGTGTGAGGGAAGAACATTCTGCTGTCAACATGAACCTTCACTACTTGGAAAATGGCACAATTATGTTGAACTTTATTTACCGGAAAGAACTGTTTTTTCTTCCTTTGGGATTTGCACTTAAGGTGTGACTTAATGAATGTATTCTTTTGTTGTGAAGCGATTCATTGGAGGTGGTATCCTGTGCAGATTAGATGGATAATCTTTGTTATAGTACTTGCTCTGCTAGTTATCTACTGCTCCAAAACAAATTACCTCAAAATTCAGTAGCTTAAAACATAATAAGCATTTCTGTCTGACTACAAGGGAGGACCCCCAAAAAACTGGAATTATTTTTTGGAGAGCAGGCCCCTTGTAGTACAGTAAGTCTCCGACATATGAACCTTCAAGTTATAAACTTTAAAGACGCACGCCTGTGGTTTTTTTAATTTATTATTTCTCTCCACTAGGTGTCAGTGTAGTCTGTTAAATACATGCAGTGCTTTAGAGCTGACTGTGTTAGTTGGGTGCCTAGGCTAACTTTGTTGGTCTTAAAACAAATTAAACTCACAAACACGCTCTCAGAATGGAACTCATTTATATGAGATTTCCTATACCGGCTTCCCCTGCTAGGTAAATGTTCTAGGAGCCCATCGACATCAGTGTACCAGCTAGCATTGTGAGAAGCTGTGTTCAGCTTCAGTGACATTATTTTTTTTTGGAGAGTCTTTCAACACATTTGCCCATTTCATGATGGGTGATTTACATGAACAACCTACCCACACCATGGAGTGTTCAGCACTTTTTGACCAAAAATGTCATCACCCCCCCATGCCCCACCCTCCCTATTTGCTTGATCTTGCCCCAAGCAACTTTTTTTTGTTTCCTCAATGAAAAAAGTTCTCAAAGAGAAACGTTTTGCTGATGTGAAAGAAGTGAAACAAAAAATGGCAGAAGCACTAAAAGGCATCAAAACTGAGAAGTTCGAAAACTCTCTTGAGCAGTGGAAAAAGCATCTTGGTTAGGTGTATTGCATCAAGTGGAGAGTACTTTAAAGGTGACTAAGTGTAAACATGTAAGAATAAATGCCCAATTTTTTATAAGTAAATTCCCCTTTTTTGGGGTCCCCCCTTGTTTTTCTGTGGGTCAGGAATTTGAGAGGGCCTTGGCTGTGGACTTCAGACCCAGAGTCTCAGGAGGTTGCAGTGAGGTGTCAGTCAGTCGTTTTGAAGACTTGACTGGAGCTGGAGGATCCACTTTCAAGGTGGCTCACTTGCATGGCTGATGAGTCAGTGCGGGCTGCTGGCAGGAGGTCCCATGTTCCTCTCCACATCGGCCTTTGCATAGGCTTCTTGAGGCAGCTGTCTTCTGCCTCGTAATTAGCCAGCAGAATAAGCCAAAGCCGAAGTGCCCCTTGTAACATATCCTTGGGAGTCTCCCATCATTTTTTTCATCATAGTCTTTTGGTCATGCAGGCCAGCCCTGATTCAGCGTGGGAGGAGACTAGACATGTTTATGAACACCTGGAGGGTAGGACACTGAGGGTTGTCTCAGTGTCAGGCTAGCATACAAGGAATGCTTTATGTTTGAGCACTTACTTCAATTTAGCAATAGTAGAGTGCTAATTTTTCTTGGATACTAAAACAAGTAGAGAATTGTTACTAAATGGATACAATGTTTTAGTTGTTATTAGAGAGTGATTAAAAGGAAAACTTTATTTTCTATTTTAGGCACTTGTCAGCTTTTCTGATTATCAGATTTTTCAGGAGCTCATCAAAGGAAAAGAGGATGACACTTTCTTTAGGAACTCTGTTTCTCAGATGTTAAGGATTGTAATGGAAGAGGGCTGTTTTACACAAAAACAGGTCCTTAACTATCTAGGTGAAAGCTTCAGAGTGAAACTCAATCTTCCTGACTGGTACCCAAATGAACAAGCTGCATTGTTCCTGTTTGAGTTACGTATACTTTGCCTAAACTATTTCTGGAGTGGGGGAGGATATCAGTGGATTGTATTGATTGTGGTTTGGGTTGGTATATCATCTGGGAATCAGACTGTCCCTGGGGATAGAATTCTGGTCCTGGCCAGTAGGGGCTACTTTTGTTTCTATAACCATCTTTACCTGTCTATTTTTATGGAAGTTTTGTTTAATTTTATTATATTTCTTACCTTTTATTTTGAAATAATTTTGAACTTCCAGAATAGTGTCCAAAGAGTACATTGGACACATATTCACTAATTGTTAACATTTTACTACATTTACTTTATTGCTTTCTCTGTACATAGATACACATTTTTCCTTCTGTGCTCTTTGAAAGTTACAAGCATCATGTCCCCATTTCCTCAAAGCTAGGACTTTGTCTCATATAACCACAGTATAATCATTTATTTATTTTTTTGAGTTGTAGTCTCACTCTGTCACCCAGGCTGGAGTACAGTGGCATACTCACAGCCCCTACAACCTCAACCTACTGGGCTCAGGTGATCCTTCCACCTCAGCCTTCCAAGTAGCTGGAGGTACAGGCACACACCACCACACCCAGCTAATTTTTTTGATTTATTGTAGAGATGCAGTCTTGCCAAGTTGCTCTGGCTGGTCTTGAGCCCGTGGACTCAGCTAATCCTCTTACCTTGGCCTCCTCACAGTATAATTATTAAAGGAGCCCAGCTCTAAGCTAGTGCTGTCCAGTACATAACCACATGGTGAGCACTTCAGATGTGGCCAGTGCAGCTGAAACACTAGATTCTAAATAGCCACATGTGGCTGCTTGCTACCATGTTGACAAGCACAGCTCTAGACCTTGGGACTATATTCTGTTATTTTGCTTATGTTTCAGTAAAGGGGAATGTTTTTGAAGTTCCAATTTTATTTTAAGTAAACATAGATTGAAGACCTTGGTTAATAAGTAGGACATTAAGTGCTAGTAGCAATGGAATTGTTTTAAACTTTTTCTTTCTGTTTTGACAGTCAATGCATCTGTATCCACTTGAAATCCAATACTGAAAAATTTTATATGCTTTGTCTCATGACTCGGAAGCTCTTTGCTTTAGCCAAAGGGGACTGTATGGAGGACAATCCTGATAGCTTAGTGAATCAAGAAGTTCTTACGCCCGGTCAGCTCTTCCTAATGTTTCTGAAGGTAAATGCATGTTGTGTTCATCCTTGGCCAGTTGTGCCACTTGTTTAATGGCATGACTGTACTCAACAGTTTTGTTTTGTGCATGCTTATAATTTCTTGTTTTGGCACTTGGTGTGGTCTCTCTTTTTTGTTTGTTAATTTAGCAGTATGGGAATGAAAAATCCTAGCTTAAACCAGGTTCTGAAATTTGTTTAATAGTCTAGAGACCATGTCAAATCTTAGCCATGGAATTAATGAAAAAAGTAGATGGCATGTATGTATGCAAATAGTTGATCCTTATTAGTCACAGATTTCATATTTGTGGATTTACCCACTGGTTAAAATTGATTTGTAACCCCGTCATCATTACTCTTTTATGGTTTTTGATAGCTTTTATGGTTATTGATAGACATGGGCAGAGCAGTGAAAATCTTGAGTCTCCTGATACATGTCACCAACTGACATGTGCCTTCCTATTTCAGCTCTCATAGTACAAACAAGGGTTCCTTTTGAGGTCTATTTAGTGCCTGTTTTTCAGATTTTTTTGTGCTTTTTATTGGTGATATTTGCTGTTTAAAATGGCTCACAGCATAGTGCTAAAATGCTATCTAGTGTTCTTAAATACAAGAAGGCTGTGCTGTGCCTGTGACAATGCAAATGAATTAAATACACACACGTATAACATGGTGTTTTTCAATAGAAGCACACATAAAGCTAGGTTATGTATTGATTGGCTAACAAAAATACTATGACTAGAGACTTGCAGGAACCCAGCCCTTTATTTCCCCCAGGAGTGATGGCTCTATTTTTTTTTTTTTGAGACAGTCTCACTCCATCACCCAGGCTGGAGTGCAGTGGCACACTCACGGCCACCATAGCCTCGACCTACTGAAGACAGACAATCCTTCCACCTCAGCCTTCCAAGTGGCGGAACTACAGGCATGCGCCACCATGCCCAGCTAAGTTTTTGATTTATTGTAGAGGTCACACCAGGTTGCCCAGGCTGGTTAGGAACCCGTGGACTAAGGAAATCCTCTCATCTTGGCCTCCCAAAATGCTGGGATTATAGGCATGAGCCACCACGGCCAGCCAGCTCTATATTGATTCAGTGATATTTTATATTTTGTAATTTATCGCTAAAAAAGATATAATCTAAAGGGTAATGTAGTGGAATGGAAGATGGAGAGGACTGAAGTAAAAATTTCCTAATTTCTTATCTAGTTGGTAATTCTTAAAGTCTTTCTAAGAGATAATAAAGTTTTGTTGTTGTTTGCGTTGGAATCTCAATCCGTAGCCCAGGCTGGAATGCAGTGACATGCCCACAGCCACCCCAGCATTGACCTTCTGGGCTCCTGCTATCCTTCTGCCTCAGCCTTCCAAGTAACCGGAACTACAGGTGCATGCTACCACGCCCAGCTAATTATTTATTTATTTATTTATTTTTATTTATTTATTTTTGAGTTGGAGTCTCACTCTGTCGCCCAGGCTGGAGGGCAGTGGCCGCTCCCGGCCACCGCAGCCTCGACCTGCTGGGTTCTGGCGATCCTTCCGCCTCAGCCTTCCGAGTAGCTGGAATTGCAGGCATGCACTACCATGCCCGGCTGATTTTTTGATTTATTATAGAGATAAGGTCTCACCAAGTTGCCCAGGCAGGTCTTGAACCCGCAGACTCAGGCAATCCACTCAACTTAGCCTCCCAAAGCGCGAGATTACAGGCTGAGCCACTGAGCCCAGCTTGTTTTTATTTTTATTTTTGAGTTGGAGTTTCACTCTGTCACCCAGACTGGAGTGCAGTGGCATGCTTCCAGCCATTGCAGCCTCGACCTGCTGGGCTCTGGCAATCCTTCCCCTTCAGCTTTCCAAGTAACTGGAACTACAGGCGCATGCTACCACGCCCAGCTAGTTTTTGATTTATTGTAGAGACATGGTCTCACCACGTTGCCTGGGCGGGTCTCGAACCTGCGGGCTCAGGCAATCCACTTGTCTCGGCCTCCCGAAGCACTGGGATTACAGGCTGAGCCACTGAGCCTGGCTGCTAATTTTTTATTGATTGTAGAGAGGAGGACTCACCAAGTTGCCGGGGCTGGTCTTGAACCTGTGGGCTCAGATAATCTACTCGCCTCGGCCTCCCAAAGTGCTGGGATAATAAAGTTTTGTTTCTGTCTGCTCTATTGTAAAGATTGAAAAATTTCAGCAGCTTAAAATTTCCCTGACAAAAATTGAAATCAGGCAGCAGAAGTTTTGATACTCATAGCTTTTTGGGTCAAAGTTAATTTACATTTCCCATCTACTTAAACTGAAGGATGGTGGGCTCCTTGTACCTCACACTGTTAGAAATGTTTCTTTAGTAGCAAGGCATTACTAAAGAAACCTGTTTCAGCAACAGGAGAAACAAAGACAATTGCAACTTTTTTAGAGAAATCCTTGTTTGAATGTCTCATTTCCTTACCTACTGTGTTTAAACTTTTAAACTTTAAGTTTGGAACACAAAACAATCTTCAGAAGATAAATAATCGTGACATAAGACTTCTTCACATTTTATTTACATTGAAATATGTTTTACAAAATTGATATTTCTCGTGAAATATAACATTTTTTATACTTGTAGACAAACAACACTCATTTTAGTAAGTTTTTCAGGTTTGATTTTAAATCTAGATGAGAAAGTAGGCATAGTCATGGAAAAAGAAGAAAACACACAAATCAGTTGTCAGCAGAACTTCTGATTCTGTTTTGGCCAGGAAACTAAAATGTTTGACATACACCTAATAAACTTTTGACACGTAGTTGTGGGCTCCTGAAGTGATGTAAACAGCAACCAGCAGAAGTAGAACAACAGTGTCAGGCTCTTCCATTCAGACTTGTTCCTTCAGGTTTACTTGATAAAGACCAAACCTACGCTAACACTCTTGTTTAGTGAGCTCGCAATTTCTGTCACTCGCTGGTAATTCCCCTATCTGTATGTTACAGATTTTTTTTTTTTTTTTGAGTTGGAGTCTTACTCTGTTGTCCAGACTGGAGTGTAGTGGCCGCTCCCAGCCACCGCAGCCTCGACCTGCTGGGCTGTGGCGATCCTTCCGCCTCAGCTTTCCAAGTAGCCAGAATTATAGGCATGCGCTACCACGCCCGGCTGATTTTTTGACTTATTGTAGAGATGAGGTCTCGCTGCCCAGGTGGGTCTCGAACCTGCGGGCTCAGGCAATCCACTCACCTCAGCCTCCCAAAGGCGTGGGATTACAGGCGTTACAGATTTTTAACAACACACTTAAAGTCCTACTAGTGAAAGGTCACTTTTTAGATTCATTGTAACATTTTATAAAATGTATTCCTTCAAAGTACTGATAAATCCATATGACCGATCCACAGTGATACTAAAAACTATATCTGAAATGACTTTGAAATAATTCTGCAGTGCGAGTGCTAAAGAGTATGTAGAAATGAAATGTGGCATTTTCAGTGCTATTTCTGGAAGAATAGTTAAGTAGATCTTCAGAGGGTGAGTGTTCAAAAACTAATTGTTTAAACAGTTGGGTTATCAATGGCTAATGTGTTCAATCAGAGACCTGTAGGCAAAGATATTTAGTGATTAAATGACTTATGTACATTTCCCAGATTTTCCTCCAAATATCGAATACAGGAGAAAACCTCCTTAAAACATTCCCTTATGTATTTTCAGTAGTTTCTGACTCACCTGTAGGAAGCTCTGACTTATATATTTTTTTCTTTACTTTTATTTTTAATTGACAGTCAGTAATTGTACATATTGGTGGAATATAAAGTGATATTTCAGCAAGTATATACAAATATAATGGTCAAATTAGGGTAATTAGCATATCCATCACTTCAAACATTTACCATTTCTTTATGTTGTGAACATACAAAATCTTCTAGATTTTTAAAAATATACAATAGATTATATGCGGCGGGACCAAATAAAACCAGAATTATTTTTTAGAGGGTAAGCCTCTTGTAGTACAGGCAACCCCCGCTAGGTGTGATCTAAGAACCCATCAGCATCAGTGTACCAGAACCCATCAGCGTCAGTGTACTAGTGTTGTGAGAGACTGTCTGGCTTCAGTGAGTTTTCCTTTTTTTTTTTTTTTTTTTGGAGATTCCTTTAACACATTTGCTCTTTTCATGATGGGTTCATGTGAGAATAACCTGCCCACACTGTACTGAGTGTTCAGCAGTTTTTGACCAAAAACAGCATGACCTCAGTGCCCCACCCTCCATATTCAGGTGACTTTTTTTTGTTTGTTTTCCCAATGAAGAAAGCCCTCAAGGGAATGTTTTGCTGAAGAAGAAGAGGTGAAATAAAAAACAGCAGAAGCACTAAAAGGCATCAAAATTGATGAGTTCAAAAACTGTTTTGAGCAATGGAAAAAGCATCTCAATAGGTGTATTACATCAAACGGAAAGTACTTTGGAGGTGACTGAAGTGTGAACATGTAAGAATAAATACGCAATGTTTTATAAATAAATTTTGAGTTTTTCTGGATCCCTCCTCATAGTTGATCATATTCATTCTACAGTTGCCACAGAAAGAACTCATTCCTCCTATCTAGCTGTAATTTTAGAATTGCAAACTTCTTTAGCCATTTCACTGATTGTTGGTAGCAGAGATTGAGGCACCCAGTATGAGTCATGCGATTGGTTCTGAGGACTACTTCAAGTGAGCAAGTGAAAGACATTAAGATTTGCCCATTATGTGCTTTCATAACAGATGAGGTAAATACTTCGTTTTCTGTGTTATCACCTTTCTCTGCCACAGGCAGTGTCTGTTTGTCTTTTCAGATTAGCACAACTTTGTACAGTTGGCCCTCTCTATCTGTGGATTTCATATTTGCAGATTCAACCAATCTTGAATTGAAAGTATTTCGTTAAAAAAAAAACAGTAAGAAATAACAATAAAGATGCAAATTTTAAAAATAATACAGTATAACAACTACTTACATAGCATTTACATTATGTTAGATATTATAAATAATCTAGAGATGTTTAAAGTATATAGGAGGATTTGTGTAGGTTCTGTGCAAATACCAGGCCATTTTGTATCAGGGGCTTGAGCATCTGGATTTGGGTATTCATGAGGGTTCTGGAACCAGTCCTTCGCGGTTAGTGAGGCACAACTGTACTCTTACACCTTTTACCAGAAAGGCTGGTGAGCATCACAAAAAGGCTCCTTAGAGGTTTCATGTTCACTTCTGCTTGTGCTGACATGTGCAAGCTGCACATGAGTCCCCCTCTCTTACTTGTAATTATAAACCCCAAATGTGCTAGAACCAAAAAATGTGAGTTGGCAGCAGAACCTGACCTGAACTCTCAGGAAACTGCATATAACTTGTATCATCCCACTTAATGTGAATAATTGTGTGCTTTACTTTAAAAGTGTGGTTTGATTGCAAGTCAGTGCCTCAGGTACCACCATGGGTGTTAAGCAATATGGTTTATGCACCTGTTACTTTTCTCACATCTGAAAACTTTTCTTAATACTGAAATACATTTCACCCAAGGCTTTTCAGTGGTCCTCTAGTGTACTATTTCCTAAAGAATGATTTGTTGTGAAGTTTGACTAAATATGCAGTGTGCCCGTTTATAGAGTGTGCCTTATAAATGCTAGTTCCTTGCTTTCCCGGAACTCTGTTAACTACCAAGAGACCCCTGGTAGGGAGAGAGGTTAGCTCCCTATTCTCCCAGCCCAAGTCTCTCTTCCTCATCTTTGTGTCTTTCCTTCCTTTTCTGTCTTTTTTGGTCTTCTATTCTTTTTCCATTACATTTCAGATTTTATGGGGGAAGAACGTGTCAGTCTGTCCTAGTTCATCAGCTTTCTTGGATTTTGGATCTGATTTGGGGACTTTGAGCTCTTGGTTGTTTCTGTTCATAGGCACATGGAGACTCCGCTGCATTGGTCTCAAAGCTTTGTTGTTGTTGCTTGTTTTAGGGATTGAAGCTGTTCCAACTGCTTGATGAAGACATTTAAATTTAAAACTTCTAAGGCAAAAGCAAACAAGTTTGATTCCTCCAGTTGATGTAGATTATCTAGAGCAGTGGTTCTGTCCCCACGCCATCTCCCCAAGGGACATTTGACAATGCCTGGAGATATTTTTGGTTGTCACAACTTGAAATATGCTACTGGCATTCAGTGGGTAGATTCCAGGGGTGCTGCAAACACTCTGCAATGCACAGGACAGTCCCTCGCAACAAATAACTCTCCAATCTAAATGTGCTGAGATGAAGAAACCCTGATCTAGAGTAGTTTGTATCTATGGAGTCTTGCTACATTGCCCAGTCTGATCTTGAACTCCTGGCCTCTAGTGATCCTCCCACCTCAGCCTCCCAAAGTGCTGGGATTATAGGCATGAACCACTGCTTCTGGCCATAGTTTATATCTTCTGTTGCAAGAAATGCCTGACCTATAGTAGTACATTAAAAAGCTATTTTTCAGGTTTGTGGTTTAGATGTTTTCCATATCAGGTATATAAATTAGTGGACTTTTGTTAAGGATTGTACAGGTTACATGGGAATAAATGTGAAATTTGTGATAATTATATTCCATACTATTTTAGATTAAAATATTTTTCCTCATTTCAGGAAAAAATGGAAGCTTGGTTAGTGTCTATTAAAATAGTTTTGGATAAGAAGTCTCAGAAGACCAATGTGTCCATAAACACTGATAATTTGATGAAGATTTTAAATCTGGGAGCAGACCTTACACGACCATTTGAATACCTTCTTGCTACTGGGAATCTGCGTTCTAAAACAGGTGAAATTAAATAGATAAGCTTCATTTTAGTAATTTTAAAAATTATTTGCTTAATGTGGATTTGCATGTTCCTGAGAGAGGCTTTTTTTAAAAGTAAACTTCTCACTTTCACTAAAGACAGACTTCATGTTGTGGTACATTTTGACAGCTATCAATCTGAAGGGCTTTAGGCAAAGTGTCTGTAGCTTAAATCCAATTCTAATAACTAAATACATTTCCTGTGCTTCCTAGAAAACGAAAGACCACTTAGATTTCTGAGGAAGGGTTACTTGAAGTCTGGAAGGGTTGTTATACATGCCCAACCCTAAATCAGTTATATCAGAATGACCCGGGAAACTTAAAAAGTAGTAATTGGGGGCTGGGCATAGTGACTCACATCTATAATCTCAGCACTTTAGGAGGCCAGGGTGGGAGGATTGCTTGAGCCCAGAAGTTTGAGACCAGCCTAGGCAACATAACAAGACTTCATCTCTACAAAAATCAAAAAGTTAGCTGGGCGTGGTGACATCACCTATAGTCCCAGCTACTTGGGAGACTGAGGCTGAAGGATTGCCATGATCATGCCACTACATTCCAGTCTGGGTGCCAGAGTGAGACCCTAACTCAAAAAAATAGAGTGGTAATTGGGACCCAGAAATGCACTGCCTTTTTTTTTTTTTAACAACTGCTGCTGATGCATATTCTTTTGTTAGCATGCTAGCAATGCTTATTTATTATCCAGCCCTCTTAGATGAACTTAATTACTCATTTAATGTCCTCCCACAAAGGAGGGAGTGGTAGAGCAGACAGGGATCCAGTTGGGGCTAATATGACTTGAGAAACCTACGGATTTGTTTTTTTTACTATTTTTTGTAAATGCCACACTGATCAGAACTAGGAGAATAAATGCTATAATAACCCACTCTGTGAGCTGTAGAGTGTTCTGAGGTTTTGTTGTCTTAGCAGAGCCTCAAAAATTGACTTTTCCCCCCCAGTTTGGCCTGTTTTTGAGTGACTTTTGTTTTATTAAGGTCTTGGCTTCCTGCAAGATTCTGGACTTTGTGTTGTGGCTGACAAGCTGAACTTCATACGCTATCTCTCCCATTTCCGCTGTGTGCACAGAGGGGCTGATTTTGCCAAGATGAGGACTACCACAGTACGCAAGCTGCTGCCAGAATCCTGGGGCTTCCTTTGTCCTGTGCACACCCCAGATGGGGAGCCCTGTGGGCTGATGAACCACTTAACTGCCGTCTGTGAGGTCGTCACGCAGTTTGTGTATACATCATCTATTCCAGCTTTGCTCTGCAACTTGGGTATGTGCAATACAGTCTTGTTTGGTTATGTGTTTTTAACGAGTGCAAATGGTTACATTATGCTTCTTAAGGGAATTCAGCAGAGAATTCCTACCAGAATCCTTTTTCACTCTTTTGTGCAAGAGTTGGGCTGCTTGCTTGGCCTCTCTATAGAATGTCAAATGTATTCTTTGAAAACAAAGACAAGATAAATTAAGTGTTGTAGATGTTTTGTTCTTCTCTTAAAGAAACTGATGCCAAAGCATTTGAAATAGATCAGGAATTAATATTGGAAATATAAAAGCTATTGCATAACTTTTTGGATCAGTCTCCTTGAATGTGACGGTGGGCCTTTGCATCTTAAGTGGAAAAGAGCGTGAATTTGTGGAAAACAGTTAAAAAAAGGAGGTTGTCCAGTCTACTCTGATGTCATCAGATATATAATATTTATTTGTTCCTGGTAGCCTTGCAACTGCTGTGTCTGCTTTGGCTGGAAACCTGTCTTGTTTTTCTTCTGAGTTTGACACTTAGTTTGAGTTTGCATTCATACTTATAAAAATATGGTCTTCTAGGCCTAGGGTTCTCCATTTGTGATTTGGAGACCAGAAGTGTTCTTCTGTCTTTGGTGGTCTGTGACCAGGGTCTCCAGTGAGATTAATGTTTCTTTTTTTTTTTGAGTTGGAGTCTCACTCTGTCGCCCAGGCTGGAGTGCAGTGGCATGCTCCCGGCCACCACAGCCTCGACCTGCTGGGCTCCGGCGATCCTTCCGCCTCAGCCTTCTGAGTAGCTGGAACTATAGGCGCGCACTACCATGCCCAGCTAATTTTTTGATTTATTGTAGAGATGAGGTCTCGCCAAGTTGCCCAGGCCTCACCTCAGCCTCCCAAAGGCGCGGGATTACAGGCTGAGCCACCGAGCCCGGCTGAGATTAATGTTTCTACAGAAAAACTTCCAGTTTATGGGGGTCAGATGATAGGTATTCTCAAGCAACCAGAAGGGCATTGAGGCAAGAGTTAAGAAATTCTTGCTTAAATGTATTTCTCCCAATTAGAGAGTGGCTTGTGAGAAGGAAACCCCAGAGAAAGTAACCAAGGAATGCTCAAGATTCAGAAGGTATATCGGTGTAATATTAATGTTCACCCTCTACAAGGAAAATAATTTCGTTTGTTATCAGTGATTAAAAATGGCAAAGTCAAGGAGAAGATAGAAATGAGAAAAGAAAAAGTGAATAGGTAGAAAATATATCCTAATGCATAAGAAGAGATGGGGAAGAGTTATTTGCTCTGGCCCTGGGGAAGAAGACAGAACAGAAAATACTGCCTGAATTTTGTAGAGGTGGTCATATTAAGGTAATAGATGAAACATTGAATGGGTAACTTGTGATACTCTGTAAGACACTTGCTGTCATCAAAAGTATTTATGGTTCATGGAAGAGTGTTCTTTTTTATGTAATTTCTGTTGATTCTCATTATTTTCAGTACCTGTGTTCTGTAAAGTCATTGCCAACACTGCATTAGAGAAAACTGAACCATTGCTTCTAGGGTAATCACAGGGGTGGGTTCCTACAAGCCTCTCATCACATTTTTGTCAGCTGATCAATATATAGCCTTGTTTTGTGTGTGTTGTTGTTGAAAGACACCTGCTTTAATACATATTGTGGATTCATTAACATTAAATTTCAGCCAACAGCACTATAACTATATAAGCGTATCTAATACACATGTTTTCTTTTGTGCCAAGGAACACTAGACAGCACTTCTGCATTATGCTTGAGGGCCATGCTATGCAGTCACCAACAAAACTGAACACACTGCAAAAAAGGTGCTTTTTTATAGCTTGAGCTGCGACAAGAAGGCAGAGGGTTATTTGACCTCAGCCAGGAGCTTGTGCATCAGGCAACTCAAGTTTTTTACTGCATGTTGATTGATCCTGAAAGTGTCCCTAGTATTGACTTTGTGGTTACAAATATATTACTTTTTTTTTTTTTTTTGGAAAAAGTTAATATATTTACATGGCACAGAAGTCAAAATATTAAAAGATATACAGCGAAAAGTCTCCCTTACCTCTGTCCTCCAGCTACTCTCCTCATAGGCGGTGAGCTCGCTTCTTGTGTGTCCTTGCTAAAGTGATATAAGCTTACACAAACAATACGAATGCATACCTGTGTTAGAGAGGAGGAGAATTAGATATCTAAACTGACTTAGCAGCTGTTGAACCCATCTGGAGGGAACTTGAAATGTTAGACAAAGCATTCTGATGTGATCACTTTGTGTGTTCCCTGTACCAGGGGTCACTCCTGTTGATGGAACTCCCCACCGACCGTACAGTGAATGCTACCCTGTCCTGCTGGATGGTGTCATGGTTGGCTGGGTCGATAAGGAGCTTGCTCCTGGCATTGCAGATTCTCTTCGTCGTTTTAAGGTGAGTTGTTGTATTACTTACCTTAAGTCTTCAGTCTTTTTCTAGTTGGTGAGGTTAGTCCCAGGTCAGTCTAGAGAGATTAGCGGTTAAGGGGTTAGAACTAACTCCTCAATGCCTATATGTTTCTTCTGGTGGCTGTCTTGCCTTGTACTGACCTCACTGGTTAGAGTCAGTGACAGATATTTGACCCATAGGAATATGTAGTTTTATTAGGCCCCAGTCTGCTTATCTAATAAATTTTAACTTTTTTCCTCTTGTTAATACTGGTGGCATATATGGAATCTCAAAATACGGATATTTCAATAATATTAACAATGTATAAGACATAAGTCATACCTTGTTGCCTTCTCGGTTTTGAAAATATAGTTTTTAAAAGTCAAGTGGAATGATATTCTCTGAATAACTTATCTTTGGAATTTCCTCCTAACAAAGAGTCTTTGTTACTTAGATAATGGCTGTTAGAAGAATTGCCCTTTGGTAACCGGATGAATTTGTGGTTCATAGTTTGTTCTCGGTTTTTTAATTTTTTGTTTTGTTTTGTCTTTTTTTTTTTTTTTTTGAGTTGGAGTCTCACTCTGTTGCCCAGGCTGGAGGGCAATGGCATGCTCATGGCCACCCCAGTGGTGACCCACTGGGCTCAGGCGATCCTTCTGCCTTAACCTTCCAAGTAGCCAGAACTATAGGTGCACACTACCACTTTTTTTCGATTTATTGACACAAAATCTCACCAAGTTGCCCAGGCTGGTCTCGAACGCTTTGGCTCAGGTAATTCTCTCCCCTCCCAAAGTGCTGGGATTATAGGCATGAGCCACTGTGCCCCACTGTTTTTTAGATTTTAGAATTGTTCTATTGTGGTATAATTTTAGCCTTAGAGCAAAGATATTTGGACCGTGTGGAGAACTCCCCTATAATCATTGCCCAAATCTACCAGTTGCAATGTTTTACCTCACATACTTTATCTTTTGTATGTTCTTTACAATTTTTTTCTTCTGAACCCTTTGAGAGCAATACACATATACCATGTTCCTTTTTCCATAAATATTTCAGCATATTTTTTCCTAAGAACAAGGGCTTTCTTTTCAATACCTGATTTTGTCAAAATCAGGGAAGGTCACATTGGTGGAATCCATAGTTGATACTCAGATTCTACTAGTTGTCTCAGTAGTGTCCTTTATAGCTATTTTTTCTCTTACTGATCTTGAAGGTGGTCCACAATCCCATATGATGTGGTAGTTATCGTATTTCTTTTAAAGTACAGGCCCATTTTTGTGTAGGCTGTTCCTTAACTTAGGTTTTTGTGCTGCTTCCTCATGATGAGATTTGAGATATCATTTCAGGAAACACATGATGTTGGTTTGTCTCATTACTGGTGATGTCAACTTTGATCCCTTTAAGATTATGGGTTCTTTAGGTTAATTCACTGTACAGGTACTGTCTTTCTTTGTAATAAGTAACTTGAGGGATGATTGAAAGCTATGTGAGGACCCTTTTCCTCATCAAATTTTCACTCACTAGTTGACGAATTCTTTGCTGAATTATAATTAACTATTCCATTAGTGACTCTGTGCTGACTTAATTATTACTGTGATGGCATTTTACAATGCCATCGTTTGTTCTATGTTTACTAGTTGCTGTTCTGTAAGGGAGAGATTTTCTTTCTCCTCCATTCATTTATTTTCTCATTTATTTGTATCAGCATAGATTTATAGATGCTTGTTTCATTTATGAGTATTTTTTGTAAGTATAATAATTTTTTCTATAACAAAAAATTTACCATTTTTAAGTTTACAGTTCAGTGACATTAAGTACATTTATATTGTGTAGCCATCAGTGCTATCTTCAGAACTTTTTCATCATCCCAAGCTGAAACTCTACAAATTGTTAATAAATAGCTCTATTTCTTTGTTCTCTAGATCCTGCTAACCACCCTTTTACTGTCCATTTCTACGAATTATATTTCTTATCTTTTACAAATGGAATCATAAAATGTTTTTCCTTTTATTTCTGGTTTATTTCACTTAACATAATGTTCAAGACTGAATGATGTTCCACTGTGTATGTACACCACATTTTGTTTATCCGTTCATCCATCAGTGGACACTTCTGTTGTTTCTACCTTTTGGCCATTGTAAATAATGCTGCTTTGAACATGGCTGTACAAATCCCTGCTTTTAATTCTTTGGGTTAAATGCCTAGAAGTGGAATTGTTGGATCATATGGTAATTCTTTGTTTACTTTTTTTGTCATCTTTAGGGACAAAATTATAAGATTTTCTCCTTACATACATTAATAGTATATATTATGTTAATCCATTCTGTAATAATAATGAATACTGCATCTTCAGTTCCTAGAGTAAATCTTACTTGGTCATGGTATATTGTTTTCCTATACTTATGCATTGGGGCTTTTTTTGATTTGTTTGGTTTGGTTTTTGTTGTTGTTTCGGGTGTTTGTTTGTTTGTTTGTTTGGAGTCAAAGTCTCACGCTGTTGCCTAGGCTGGAGTACAGTGACATGATCATGGAGCCATGACCTCCTGAGATCAGGCAATTCTGCCACATCAGCCTCCCAAGTAGCTAGGACTACAGGAGTGCACCACCATACCCAGCTTTTTTTTGTACAGACATCTCACTCTGCTGTCCGGGCTGGTTTTGAGCTCCTGGGCTCAAGCAATCCTCCCACCTCAGCCTTCTAAAGTGCTAGGATTACAGGCATGAGCCACTACACCCAGGCAAGACTTTTGATCTATTAAGCTGATCCTTTTTCCATATTCTTAACTTATTAGTTCATTTATTTATTTAATTTTTTAAATTAGCATTTTCTTTTTTTTAGTGTGTGTGTCTATGTGGTGAAAGCACTTAAGATCTACCCTCTTAACAAAGTTCAAGTATACAATACAGTACTTTTTTGTTTTGTTTATCGAGGCAGGGTCTTAACTCTTACCCAGACTGGAGTACAGTGAGTGACACAGTCTATCTTAGCCTCCCAAATAGCTGGGACTACAGGTGTGTACCACCATGCCCCATTAATTTTGAAAATTTTTTTGTAGAGATGAGGTCTTGCCATATTGACCAGGCTGGTCTTGAACTCCTGGACTCAAGCAGTCCTCCTGCTTCAGCCTCCCAAAGTGCTGGGATGACACCTGTGAACCCCCATGCCCAGCCTGGTATTGTTAAATGTAGTTACATGCTGTACATTAGATCTTCCAAACTTAATCCTCTTGCATAATTGAAACTTTGTACTCATTGTCCAGCATATCTCCATTTCCCCCTTCCCCAACATCCTTTCATTTTTATTGGCAATACATCTAGCTGTGAATTCCTACAAGTTCTGATACATGGATCTTTTTGTTTTTTGGTTTTTCAGATTTCTGTAACTTTTAGTTTTAGTGCTCCTTTCACCCAGGAATTATTTGACAGTTTTTTGGGTTTATTTGCCCTAATATCCAAATAGAAGGGCCTTTTTATTTAATTAGCTTAGAAATAAAGCCAGTAATCTATATTTTAGACATCAGAGGACAGAATTTTATTCAATATGTCTAAATGCACATTCCTGGTACACCATATTCCCAGTCTCAGTTGTTACTCATTTGCCTGTTAGTGGGGCTGAGTCCCAAGGAAGTAGGGCTTTTGCCATGGCTGGGTATGAATGAGTGGCATCCATGTGGGGTTGAGACTGGCAGAGACAGGCCATGGTTCCAGGTGCTAAGTTTATTACTTGTGTGACTTAATTTCCTAAGATACTGCTTCTCCTATTTGACCCTTTCTCCCCCTACCTGCAAGGTAGGGGTTGTCTAAAACACATTCCTTATTCTTTATTGATATCTTTTTTTGTTGAACACAGGTATTGAGAGAAAAAAGAATTCCTCCCTGGATGGAAGTGTCCCTTATCCCCATGACAGGAAAACCAAGTCTGTACCCAGGATTGTTCCTTTTTACCACGCCTTGTAGACTGGTACGGCCTGTGCAGAACTTGGAATTAGGCAAAGAAGAACTAATTGGAACTATGGAACAGGTACATAAGTTGTGTATGTGCTTGTAGAGATAATATACAACTTTTAGAGACTTAACTATTCCTTTTAAACGGGTTGTTACCATTGCTACAACAGCAGGGGGACATTTGAAAGAAAACCCAGCTGTGTTCTACCTCTTCTGTGACTAGCACAAAACAGCTTCCATGTCTTTTCTCACTCCATGGAACTTGAGAGAGAGTTGGCGGTCATTTGACTTGCCTTCTCATCCTGCTCAGCTCCCAGAACTCCTTTGCTTCCAGCTCTGCCTCAGCTAGTAAGATTGAAACATTCCACTGGATTCACTCTCAGTCTTTGCAGTTGCAAAATTGTAGGTTTTGTGCTACTTAAAATTTTTCTTTCTTCCTATTTCTTTCCACAATTAGACTGGGGTGGATTTAGAATGAAATATGTAAGGCAAGTGGTATTTCTAGCTGGAAGTTTCCCCGTGCTTCCCAGGGGATCCCTTTAGCATTCAAGATGCTGGGTGGAGAAAGTTTCAAGTCTTTGAGTGCTAAACTCTGAGAAGTAGTAAGGTTTAGCAGTCATGGTTATTCTGTGCCTTGGACTTCCCCTTTTCCAGCTCTTCATGAATGTCGCTGTCTTTGAGGATGAGGTTTTTGCTAGAGTCACCACACATCAGGAGCTCTTTCCTCACAGTTTGCTGAGCGTGATTGCCAACTTAACCCCCTTCTCCGATCACAACCAGAGTCCACGAAACATGTACCAGTGCCAGATGGGTAAGGTGGACGGTCAGTGGCGATGGTCACACTTAGGGAAGAAAGGCGCTTGTAACTTTCTGTTCTGAAATAATTTCATACTCAAAAAAGATGTAAGAATGTTACCTAGCACTCCCATAAATCCATCATCTAGATTCTGTTAACATTTTGCCCACTTACTCTGTTTTAACATTTGAAGGTAAGTTGCAGTTATGATACTCCTTTCTTTACGCCTAAACATTTCAGTGTGTCTTCCTAACAAGGATCTTCACGTACACAACCAAGGACAGTTATTAAAATTAGTACTAGTATACTATTTGATCGTCTTTATTCATATTTTGATCATTTGTCCTAAACATATGGTTTATTGCTATTTTTCTGTGCAGCAAGCACCCAGGCCAAGATCACTGATTATATTTAGTTGTCATGTCTATTTAGTCTCCTTTAATTTAGAACAGATCTTTAGCCTTTGTCTTTGACTTTTTTTTTAAGGAAAAGGCAATTTATTTTGTAAAAAATATCCATTTGATTTTTGTTTTTCTGAGATCTTGGGATTCTGTTTTAAAGGAATACAAGCCATTATAGTCACCCATATAATTGTCACTTCCAGTGCTCTTCATTCCTGCCTGAAGATTCAAGTTTTCATTACATACAGTTTCCCTTCAGCCAGAAAAACTTCCTTTAGCATTTTTTTTATAGCGCAGGGATTGTTGATTTTTAACAGATTGACTATGATCTGCCTAGATACAATTTTCTTTGTGTGTGTCCTACTTGGAGTTTGCTGGTCTTTTCAGATCTGTTTTTTAAAAAATAACCCAAATTACCATTTTCTTGTGTGTGTGTGTCAGTGTATAAGAAAGTGATCTAATTAGGTAATAATTACTGTTCCTTTTTCCCCTACCAGCAATGATGTTCTGTGGTTTGTATATATTCCCTTTTTATGCTTTTATTATGTCACACGTGTATCCAAAAACTGGGTAGAGAATTGTTTGGGATGTTGCTGCAAATGCACAAAATTGCATATTAAATGTCATTCTGCAATTTTCTCCTATTCAGCATGGTTATTGTCTGGTCATGTTGATAACATGTAGATTTACTTCATTTTCATGGCTTATGTATTAGTCATAAGCATAACTAGTGATTTTTAAAAAATTCATTCCTTTATGATGAATATTTAAAAGTTTCCAATTTTATATGTCAGCTCTATTATCAAGGTGAAAAACAGAAAATGCTAAGATGTTTTTCCCTCTTTAGGTAAGCAAACTATGGGCTTTCCACTTCTCACTTTTCAAGACCGATCAGATAATAAACTGTATCGTCTTCAGACTCCACAGAGTCCTTTAGTGAGACCATTCATGTATGATTATTATGACATGGATAACTATCCAATTGGAATAAATGCCATTGTCGCTGTGATTTCCTACACTGGCTACGATATGGAAGATGCCATGGTAAGTTGTACCAGGAGATGTAGTTTCAATTCTTTTTTATTTTTAATTTTTTTGTTTTCTGTGAAATCACTTAAGGAATTGTTTTGTGTCCCCAAGTATTTGGTACATGACTGTTCTATTAAATGGTTAGTTCTTGGTCTAAGTTGAATGTGGGCAAACCTTGAGGAATATTTGCTAAATATTCAGATATGCATATGTCTTGCATATTTAAGTGCATATTATGAGTAAGTGTTGAGTGGGTGTAGTCTTGGATAGAGCTACCTGTTTATGTATGATTAGATTTTAGGTGGGTTTTATTGTATATGGGTTTTAGTAGTAAGTATCAGTGATTTGGAAAATGTGAGGAGCTTTATTTTGAAAATCCTCATTTGGCCTCAGTATTTTAAATTAAGAATTCTTTGACTTTACAGATTTTGAATAAGGCCTCTTGGGAGCGAGGCTTTGCCCATGGAAGTGTGTACAAGTCTGAGTTCATAGACCTCTCTGAAAAAATTAAACAAGGAGATGATAGTCTGGTGTTTGGAGTCAAGCCTGGTGACCCACGGATTTTGCAGAAGTTAGATGATGATGGATTGCCATTTGTAGGAGCAAAGATGCAATATGGAGATCCATATTATGGCTACCTAAACCTTAGCACTGGGGAAAGCTTTGTGGTATACTATAAGTAAGTCTGGGTGTGGTTGCTGTTTTTTAAAGTCTGTTTCTCAGTGGAGTTGCTAGAGGTCAATGAAAGTTATAACAAAATTTTTAGAGAAAATGTAAGTGGTAGCTCACTTATTGTCTTAGTCCATTTGTGCTGCTATAACAAAATACCTGAGACTGGGTCATTTATGAAGAAAAGTTTAATGCTTAGAGTTCTGAAGACCGAGAAGTCTCAGATCAGGTGCTGGCAGATTTGATGTCTGTAGAGGACCCATTCCTCATAGATTGTGCTGTCTTCACCTGTGGAAGGCGGAAGGGTGAAAAGGAACTAACTATGCTTCACACCTCTCATCAGGTTACTAATCCACTCATGAGGGCTCCATTCTCACAATTTAATCACCTCATACAGGCCTCACATCTTAATACCAACACAATGGGGGTTAAGTTTCAACATAAATTTTGGAGTGAGCACAAACATTAGAACCATAACAACTGCTGTCTCAGTAACTCAAGGTTCTGTCTTTCACAAATCTGTTTCACACATCTGACATATGTCTCAGTCATAAATGTATTGGCAGTGCCTAAATGAGACAAAGTTCTGTCTTTGGTACTGCCTTTGTTTTTCTACATTTCTTTTCTTTTCAAGACAAAGTCTAGCTCTGTTGCCCAGGCTAGAGTGTGGTGACATGATCATAGCTCACTGCAGCCTCAAACTCCTGGGCCCAAGTGTCCTCCTTCCTCAGCCTCCTGTGTAGCTAGGACTACAGGCACATACCACCATCCCTTGCTAATTGTGTGTGGGGGGATTCTCACTGGTGTTTTTCTACTTTTCTTTTACAATTTATGAGAGTTATCTGTGATTGATTGTAAAACGATATTATTCAAACTTTATCATCTCTCTCATACAAATTGTTAGGAACATTTCCTAGCCAAAATGTTGAGCTCATTATGCCTCTTACTAAAAATAAATTTTTATTTTAGCTTCTTGTACAATAATAAACCTAATGATTTCAGTGGGTTTTCATAATGGTTTTTCAGTTGTCTTTGTTGCCAGTATTCTTTCAGGTGAACATAGTTCTGTGGTGAATATAAGCAGTAGCCTATTTATAAATACCTTTAGGGATACTACTCTGTCTGTACTGGAGAAGAGAGGTAAAAATAAGTTTAGCAAATACCCTTTATGAAGCACTAATTATATCAACAAAACTTAAGTGTCTGTAAGTTTAAACAAATAGTTTAACTATTTATATTTTCCTAGGAGTAAAGAAAATTGTGTTGTGGATAACATCAAAGTGTGCAGTAATGACACTGGGACTGGAAAATTCAAGTGTATATGCATCACAATGAGAGTACCTCGGAACCCAACTGTCGGGGATAAGTTTGCCAGTCGTCATGGGCAGAAGGGCATTCTGAGCAGATTGTGGCCGGCGGAGGACATGCCTTTTACTGAGAGTGGGATGGTCCCGGACATCCTGTTCAATCCTCACGGTTTTCCATCCCGCATGACCATCGGTATGTTAATTGAGAGTATGGCTGGAAAGTCTGCAGCTCTGCATGGTCTCTGCCATGATGCGACACCCTTCACCTTCTCACAGGAGCACTCAGCCTTAGAATACTTTGGTGAGATGTTAAAAGCTGCTGGCTACAACTTTTATGGCACCGAGAGGCTGTACAGTGGGATCAGCGGGCTAGAACTGGAAGCTGACATCTTCATAGGTGTGGTTTATTATCAGCGGCTACGCCACATGGTCTCAGACAAATTTCAAGTGAGGACAACTGGAGCCAGAGACAGAGTCACCAACCAGCCTATTGGGGGCAGAAATGTTCAGGGTGGAATCCGTTTTGGGGAGATGGAGCGGGATGCTCTTTTAGCTCATGGTACCTCTTTTCTCCTTCATGACCGCCTCTTCAACTGCTCTGATCGCTCTGTAGCACACGTGTGTGTGAAGTGTGGCAGCTTACTCTCTCCACTCCTGGAGAAGCCACCCCCTTCTTGGTCAGCCATGCGCAACAGAAAATACAACTGTACTCTGTGTAATCGCAGTGACACTATTGATACTGTTTCTGTACCTTATGTTTTTCGGTATTTTGTAGCGGAACTGGCAGCTATGAACATCAAAGTGAAACTGGATGTCATTTGACTTGATACTGGCCCTTTGGATTAGTAAATCTATCAGATTAAAAAAAATGTAACTTTAGTTCAGAGGCGATATTATTATAGGTTACCCTTGCTTTTTTTCAAGAATGTTAGAACTCTCAACCAAGACCTAGCAACCAAGAATTCAAGGTTTGAGTCTCTCTGGTATACTATACTGATGTTGGTTTCTGGTGTATTTGTTCAAAAATTCTATATGTATCTTCTATAAAATGAAATATTGATCAGTAAGCATACAAGGGAAAGTCTCTTTTCCAATCCTGTGTTCCCTATACCCCACGTTCAGCAGGTAGTGACTTTCACACATCTGTTTCTCTAGAGTAGAACAGTATAATATGAATACAATGTAAGCCATGTGTAATTTTATATTTTCTTTCTCTCTTTTTTAAAAATATGAGATAGGGTCTCACTATGTTACCTAGGCTGGTCTTGAACTCCTGGGCTCAAACAGTCCTCCTGCCTTGGCCTCCTGAAGTGCAGGATTATTGGCATGAGCCATCATACCTGGCCTAATTTTGTATTTTTTTATAGCCACGTTAAAATAGAAACAAATATTTTTAACAGCTTTATTGAAGTGTAATTGCTGCATACGTAATGTATGCAATTTTAAGAGTTTGAATATATGCACATACTTGTGATATCATCACGATCAAAGAATAAACATCATCTCCAAGAGTGTCCTCCTGCCCCTTGTTTTGAGTTCCATTCTTTGGCCATTATGAACAATGTTGGCAGTAAGCTTTCCTAAGATAATTCTTTCCTGAATTTGTCTCTAGGTGGTCTATCACTACTTATACGGCAGATAATATTAGACTGGGAAAAGTCTATTTATTCAAGATATTTTCTTGGCTGGGCTCGTGACTCAGCCTATAATACTAGCACTTTGGGAGGTCGAGGAGTGGATTGCCTGGGCCCGTGGGTTTGAGACCAGCCTGGGCAACTTGGTGAGACCTCGTCTCTACAATAAAATAAAGTAAAAATAGCTGGGCATGGTTGCCCACGTCTGTAGTTCCAGCTACTCAGAAGGCTGAGGCAGAATTGCTGGAGCCCAGCAGGTCAGTGCTGGGGTAGCCGTGAGCATGCGTGCTACTGTACTCCAGCCTAGGCGAAGGAGTAAGACTCCAACTCAAAAAAAAAAAAAAAAAAAAATCTTCTTGCGTTGCTTCATGAAACACAAAAATAAGGAAAAACACCTTGACTCTATTAACCGATGTTTCCCCCTACTGTTAATAGAATCCCGAGCATAGACTTTCCCATCCATTCTAGACTCTGTCTACCTCACGATCCCCAGCTGAAGTCTGTTAACGTCTCTCCACTTTATTTTTAGCAACACTAAAAGTAGCTTTTAAAAATTTTTTTAGCCGGGCTCTGTGGCTCACCCTGTAATCCCGCACTTTGAGAGGCTGAGGTGAGTGGATTGCCTGAGCCCGCGGGTTCAAGTCCCACCTGGGCAACTTGGTAAGACCTCATCTCTACAATAAATCAAAAAATTAGCTGGGTGTGATAGCGCGCATCTGTAGTTCCAGCTACTTGGAAGGCTGAGGTGGAAGGATCGCCGGAGCCCAGCAGGTCGAGGCTGTGGTGGCCCGGAGCAGCCACTGCACTCCAGTCTGGGCGACGGAGTGAGACTCCGACTCAAAAAAAAAAAAAAATTTTTTTTAGCTTTGAATTTTAAATTATATTGTAGGTTCACAATTAAGAAATTGACATGGAGAAAATCCACAGAGCTGATTCAGAGTTTCACCAGTTTTACATAACACTCATTTGTGTTGTGTGTGTAGTTCTGTTTAATTTTCATCACCTAGTAGATTGATGTAAACATCAGCATAATCAAGATAGAGAACTACCCTTTCATGCTATCCCTTTATGGCTGTCTCCATTCTGGTCCCCCATTTCTTTTTTCTTTTTCGAGTCAGAGTACCACTCTGTCACCCAGGCTGGGGTGCAGTGGGACAATCACATCTCACCACAGTTTCGACCTCACAAGTTCTTGCAATCCTGCCTTGCCCACCCAAGTAGCGAGGGCTATAGGTGGGCACTACCACACCCAGCCTTTTTTTTTTGTTTTTCTGTAGAGCTATCTCACTGTGTTGCCCAGGCTGGTCTTGAACTCCTGGGCTCAAGGAATCCTTCCTCCTCAGCCTCCCAAAGTGCTGGGATTACAGGGCATGAGCCACTGCTCCCAGCCCCCAATTAATTCTTGTTTTTTTTTTTTAGAGATGGAATCTCTCTTGTTGCCCAGGCTGGTCTTGAACTCCTGTCCTTAAATGACCTTCTTGCCTCAGCTTCCCAAGTTTCTGGGATAATAGACATGAGCCACAGCACCTGGTTGATCTATTTCATTTCTACCCCCCCCCCCC